GTAAAGCCAAGTTTAACTCTAAGCTGTCAGGAGGCAGTGCCCGGAGCCAGTCCTGTTCTCAGCTCTGCAAGAGGCTCCCCCAAATTCTCAGTCCCAGGGAAAGCCTCTGCATGTCATGTTCAGATGGGACAGGAGTTTCAAGCAGAACTAAAGCTCTGCAGATGATGTACGAGCAGTGTCACAGCATTAGATCAGATCCCTTCAAGAAGAAAAACAGCTGGGTGAAAGCAGCCAGAGCAAAACTTTTCCAGAGCAACCGATAATCCCCAGTTCCCAAGTTTAAATCTTTGAAGGGGCACATATTCAGCATCCTCTAAAAAGGTCTTGAAGCTTCCTTTGGAAAGCCACAAGGATGCCTGAGATCCTTCCTCTGAGCATCGCTCCTGGTTTCTGTTCAGTGTGGAGGAAGGAAAGCTCTGCCCTGACTTTGTGCTCACCCTCAGCCCTCCAGCACCACTTTTCATCACAGTGAAAAGAAAAGGGAAACAAGAAAAAAAAATAGACATATCCAATTTGTTGTCAGCATTTTTCATAATGAAAAGTTAAGGTGTGGTAGCAGAGGAAACATGGTCCTCACTATCCAAACCAACTACGTTAGCACCATAGGAAACAGAATTCAGCTGCTTCCTCTCTTGCTCCTCCACCCCAGGTATGTATGGGACGGACACATACAAAGCTTTGTTTATTGTGCTTCATCAGCAAAATTTTTTTCACTTCACACAAAGGAAATGACCTTTCAGAGGTTAAAAAGCAGTTTGTCCAAAAAACCCACGTGAGTTCAATTAACACTTTTACACCAGAGATTGATTGTTAGCCAAATTACCAGTCTAACTGAACAGCTTGATGGCAGAGATGCTCCCATACCTGGTTTCATGTCCAGCAAATATTAACCACAATATCATCATATTCCGCTGGGAGTTTGGGGACAGTTTGCCTGGTTTCTCTTTTCGCCTTCGCAGGGAGCAGACTGACTTGCATTAGCAAATGGACTTTGATGCAACGGTTCTTTTGTGCTTAAAGCACAGGGGCTGATGAGGAATGACTGATGTGGGACCTATAGGTGAGAATTGCTATTCATATCTCAGGAGAAGATGGGCACCAGAGCATGGTAGTGTTGATATCCCAATCAAAGTCAGGCCAGTGGTAACACAAATAACTGAACACAGGATGGATGCTGATACTGAAAGATTTTGGCTTTGTGGCTGCTTATGAACCTCATTTGTATAAAATTTTCACTTTGTTTTACTGCCCTATAATTAGATTTAAGACAGGTGGCCTATAAAACCAGCATGTGGAGAGCCCTGCCAAAAGCTTTATTTCTGACAAACTCTCAGGACACCCAGAAGAGCCCCACTCTCCCACTGTGGGCATTGGGGGCGGGGGGAGACACATTTGGGAAGACCCCAAAGCCTGGCCAGCAGGCCAGAGCACTACATGCCATATCTCTGCAACAAAATACAGTCCTTGCTCCTTTCCCTCATAGGAAATGGGTACTTTGCATGGAGGCATCTATGCTGAGTTCTCACCTAGGATTTCTTCCAAGCCCTAATAGCATTAGCTTGTATTGACCTGCTGTAGTTAGAAAGAAGATCTGTGCCAGCTCATCCATAAGGTCTCTGGTTTTTCTAGGACAGGCTTTCAGATGCTCTCTACCACAGACAAGACAATGTTCCCTGGCATACAACCCAAGCACTTGCCAGGAGGATAAATCCACATACTGTACAACTATCTCCCCCTTCGCATGGGTTCCAAGGTTATTTCAGAGTGAAATGGGACACCCCACCAGCACTTTGGCTCACTAACTCCTCCAGATGAATAGCTCTGTTTAAATAGAACACTTATTCTCCTTTGACAGATGAGACAGATGATGGTGAACACCTCAGGATGGTCCCTGAGAGACCATCTTGGGGAAGCACCTGAGCTGGGGCTGAAGTCCCCGCACCAGTGACCAGGTGAAACAACCCCCAGTAAGAACCTAGAAGGTGTTTCCTACACATACACTAGAAACAAGAAGGCTAAAGAAAAGGTGACTGACAAAGGCTGGTTTGTTCTTGTTGGTTGGGTTTTTATGTACTCAAAGCTGCTAAGGCAGGTGAAGGCTTTATGCTGGCAGAGAGGATTTCAGCCTCCCCTGGGCAGGCAGCTCTGCCCGCGTGACCACCTCTGCACCCACCAGCTTCAGAAGACATAGGTGAGAGCCCTGCACAGAAGCATGAAGGTGTCAGTGGCTTCTCCATGCTGGAACTCAAGCTCAGGTCTCCCATAAGGTCAGCAAGCATTTTTAAGAAAGACAGACCACAAAAACACCACCACCACAATAACAAACTTAGCAGCCCAGGGAGAAGCAATCCTACTCTGGCTTTCCTTTCCCCACAATAACGCACTGATGATTAAAGAGAGACCTGCTAGCAGTGTCCAACTCACCCAAAAATAGCCACTGACCCACAAAATAACATGAACCTCAAATATGGATGAAAGCAAACCGAAGCCTCCAGGGCTGACCACCAGCACAAGGACCTGTCACCTCACCCTTCCCTGCATGTCCCTCACACGTAGCTTAAAGTTCTGACTTGTTTCCTGGTTTTTTACACCAGGCACAGCCCAGGGAGGCCTCAGAGAGGGCAAAGGCACACATTTAGTCAAAAGAGCCTTTATATTCAACCTGTGGTATTTTTCACACCTGGAATAAGAATATGAAGGAGTTACAGAAATATGAACATTCCTGATGAAGCCAAGGTGGGAGAGGACTTTGTTAAGCACCTGTCCAGGTGCCAATATTAATAAGAACACAAGGCAAAACCATGCTTTCATCTGGCTGCACTAACTACAGCACTTTTCTAGGTAAAAATTTGAGAAGACAAATAGCATCCCTGGCAGGTAGGAGAGTGCTGTTATATCCATTTTACAGATAAAGAACAGGGGCACAGAGAAGGAAGACAATTTGCCCAAGGTAACACAGGATCTATGGTAGTGAGAGGACAATCTCATGCCCAAGATTAGAGCCTGGTCCCTTACAGAGCTCTGATATCTGAACAGACGGGTGACATTTAATGCTGTGTGCTCAGTCCTGCGCCCACCAGACACAGCCAGGATACCACCCATGGTTTGAACAGCAGAGCCAAGACTTCAGCACAAAAGGCAAAGTGTTGCCCAACCCAAGGAAGAGCTGCAGGGCATTCTTTCAGCCATCTCTCTTTAATACACGCCAAATTACCACACTAGGAAGCTCCTGACATTAAAATGTGAGAGTCACCTTGTTCCTGCCTGGTTTTGTCTCCTAGGGATGACCCTTGGAGGAGTGAGCACGTAGCAACAGGTCACTCACTGCGTGTCCCCAGCAGTCTGGGTGTGCTCTCCTTGGGGCTGTGACAAGCTGTAGGCAGAGGGCAGCAGGGAAGGGGCACTGTCCATCCCCCCCGACTCGAGGACTGGCTGGAAAGATGACAGAAGGACCAAATCTCTTTTTACCCATTTTCACATCCCCACTTGAGAAGGCAGGCACAAGTCAGTGATGCTTTTCATAAAGGCAAGACATATTAATCCACCAACAGCCACTAGGACACAGTAAGTTTGAGCAAAGATACAGTCATGCTTTGTTTTGGGAAAAAAAAAATATCTCTTTTCACTTTGAGCCAACCATCAGAGAATCTCAGCTGAACAGGCTGAATACAGCTGTTGTGGCTCAGTAAGGACCAGCTCTGACAATCCCAGCCCTGGAGAGATGGGGATGCTCCATGGGGATGCAGAAGGGAGCGAAAGCAGCCTGAGCTCCACGCTCTTTATGTGAGCAGGCTCCAGAAATACCATACCCACAGTACAGGTGTAGCTGGATTTTATTTACAGAGAGAGAAAGGAGCCAGGGCTGTGTCCCACATTTCTTCAGGTTAGCAAAGGGGGGGCAAGTGGGGAGCAATGATGCTTGCACTTCTGCATTCCTAAGTACACATGATGCACATTCCTGGTGACACACGTGTCACATATATCACAAAGTGTTTACATCCATCATCTGTATAAGATGTCAAGATGCATTTGAGCACGTGGAAGCACTTATATCACTGTAAAACTGTTCTCCCAACTCCTGGGCATAGCTTAAAGCTAAATAGCAACAGATCTCTTTGGGATTAAATAGGGACAAGTGTCATTTTAGCATTCCTTTCCCATGGAAGTTACATCTTAATGGCTCTGGAAAGCTGTTTGCTACGAGCTGTGTCACTTTCTGTATTGCAACACACCAGGGAGGGGGGAGAAGCAGCTTTGAAATATTCAACATAATTTAGCAAACACGCACACTGACACTGCGACTGGGCACACAGCACAAGTTTACACAGGAGACAAAAATAAATACAGATGCCAAAAAGAGTGACAGCACACGAACTGCAACTGGATACCACAGTAACTGCAAGTACGGCGCTGTATTTTTTCCCTGCAGGAAGAAGAGTCTCCTGACAGTTGTTTTAAAACTTGCAGCCCCCCTGGACAGTAATCTCTTTACAACACGAAGTACTCTACCATTAGAATCTGCAACTATTCAGTGACACAAACAGCAAGAAAAATTACAGCTGGTCTTTTCCATGGCAGCATTGTGCCCCGAGTGCCCGATGGCAGTGCAGGCTGAGATCTGTCTCCCAAATCCCAAGTGCGAGGACAGTGACAGCAGTAAAAGGGTCTCCCTGCAACACAGGGGCACTCGGCTGCCAAACCAGTTTTAGGTAAAGTGGCTGATAAAAAACACATTTAACATAGAAAAACATCTTCCCCAAACCCTGAATTTGAGGCAGTTGCACAGCACTGGCTGTTTGAAAGCAAACATAAACCTGCTGGGTATCTTCACGTGAGCTGGGGCTCCGGCGCGATGCTCCTCACCTCATCCCATCCCTGCCACCTCATCTGGGGTGTGCGCACTGAGGCATCACACAGGTGAGCAGGCGCTCCATCAGGTGGAACGATGCTTTCCTAACAAAACCTGGGACAAATAACCATGTTGGTTGGTTTTGTTTTACCTGGTAGACATCCCGGAGGCCACACCACGCTCGCAGGGCTTGCCGGCAAGCCCGCAGGCGGGCAGCGTACCACCTCCTCAGCGCTGCCACCGTCACCGTCCAGACGAAGCGGCTGCCGCTGAAGAGCAGATCCTCCACCCCGCACATGAACACCGAAGCCATGACTCGCTCCGCCGCCGCCGAAACAAAATCCCCGTCCTGGCTGGCTCCCGCTGGCTCTCCCTCCCTCCTTCAAACGCCTGGCATGACGGCAGCCCGGCTTTATACGGCGGGCGGAGGGCAGGGGTGTTGCAGGGAGCCAGGGTCAAGCCTTCCAACAAACTCCTCTTTCACGGCGCTTCCTGGGCAGATTCCCAGGCATGTCCCCGGCGCCTGAAGCCCAGCCAGCGGCTGCAGTAGCTCAGCCCTACCAGCAGCTCACACAGCAGCCTTGTCCTTCTTAGCGGCTTATATAAATCTCCGTTAAGCTCCGGTAGCTACCACGATGTTTTCTAATTAAATTTTAACCCTTTTTGCCATATGCCCCGACAACAACCCCGTTTAGAGGTGCTGGGAAGGGAAGGAAAGCCCTCGCCAGCGCTGATCGCCGTCGCAGGTCGGTGAGCTGGGCAGGCACTTCACACACAGCTCCCACCGAACACCCAGCACTATCTGCCTCCGACACCTCCTTATCTGCCACACGGGGAACAAAGCTGTCATCGTTTTCTCCCGACTGAGCCCGTGCTCAAATTATACACTAGAAATCCTATTTAAGCATCTCCAGGAGCCAGCAAGTGGAGGGAAGGGAAAAAGGAAAACCAAAACCACCCCGATCAGAATAATCCTGCAGAAATAGATGCACTAACTTCTCTTCCAGCTCGGATCACAGTGGATGCCCACAGCACAGAGCCATCTCCCTGCTCCACGCCTCCCCCCATGGTTGCTGCATCCTACCGATTAAATGCTCCACACCTGCTAAATAGATCATTTTTGCTCTACTCTTAAACTAACATAACTCCATTAATGCAGCACTTTGCTGCAGGAGGAAAAACAAAGCTGCCCGCGCTAGCTGAGCTCTTCACAAACAGCCCACAGCAAATAAACACTGAAATAATAGCTCACAAGAGACTCCAGCCTTGCCTCGATAGTCGGTATAAAATTAAAGCAGCACCCTGCCCTTCTGGGGCTTAAATTGTCAATGCCAGCAAGCTGCACCTTTCATTTGTGAAGCTCTTTCCTATTAAAAGCTAAAGGATGGTGGGAGTCAAAGGGCAGCTAATCTTTTCAAGACCCCTCAGAGGATTTGACATTTCCTAAGCTTTTTGGGACAGAAGCTGCAGGGGGTCCCACGTGTCACTATCTGCAGCTTGCTGAAGGAACTTCTTTAAAGAGCAGATATTTGGCTAAAACCATCAGCAAAGGCAACATCTCTCTCGAAGTACTCTCTTGTGCAATGAAACGAAGGAAAAGGACCAGGAATACCTTGCATAAAGGCTGCATGAGGGCTAAATCCCACAGTGGTGCTGGTGCTGCTTCCCCAAGGGCACTGTCTGCCAACAGCCCCTCCACCAGAGTTGCATGAGGGTTGTCCCAAATGCTCTTCATGGGAAGAAGACAAACTTACATGCTTGTAGTGCAGCACAAGTATTCACAAAACCCATTTCATTCAATATTAATCTTCTTCATATTGCAAGAGCCTGTGGCCATGCACAGTCAAATCCTTGTTGTAGTTGGGGTGATGTAGTTCTGTAGAGAGATGACTGCCCATTTTAGACAGGCTTTGGACTTGTGTCTCCAAGCATCACACTTTTTCCTCTTATGTATAATGAAGCAGGAACAGCTCTGGTGCTCTTAGTGCTGCTATCTACTGGCTGTGCTGCTGCCAGGGAGTTTAAATATCTCCAAGACTTGTTTTCACATGAGGAAAACAGTTACAACCACATTTCAAATGTTATTAGAAGCTGTTACAAAGTGAGTTGGTGCAGAGAGAGGTACACCTTGTTATAATACAAGTCGAGTAAAGACTTGGGCTCCGCAATTGAAATCCAGCATCCATATACCCATCCCAAAAGGTTTATTCCCACTTTGAATGCTGTCTTAGAGCCTGTGGCCACATGGAAGCCTTCCTCCTCCTCCAGTGTTGCCCATCACCACTGTTCTGCGTTTAGAGGACTTTAATGTCAACATGAACACACAAAATGGAAAAAGTTTCTGTTTTCCACCAGGAGAGAGCAGTGCCAAGTATCTAGAGAGTTATTGCAATAGCCTAAGCCAGTACTGGTGCCAGGCTTGGCAGTGGGTAATTGCCATTCCCTCAGATAGCACTGCCTTGGAGAGGAACCAGCCAGGAAAACCTCCAACAGCATCTGTGCACTATGGTCAAGTCATATCCAAATTTAAACACAGATTAAAAAAAGAAAATCCAATTTTCAAGTTCCATTTCTAAAAGAAAATAAAAGGAGCTTTGTAGTTAAAGAAACAGTGCAGGGAACGGCCCCGTCCTGCGCCAGGAAAATCCAACCAACCCACTATGGAAAGTTTAAATGCTTGTGCTGTGCCTGCTGTCTCAGTGCCTTTTTGTTTTCCTTATCACCTAATTAGACTGCAAAAATTAAGGATGATGTTTTTCTCCTTTAAGACAGCACAAGGGATTTTTCTTTTTTTAAGATGGTCTATGATACATGGTATCTTTAAATAAGAACTTACATGTTTTGCATGGTTATTCTTTATACTTCACAAGTTACTGTGTGCCTGAGCAATGGCCTCAGATGGCTCTACCTCAGAGGGCAGAGCCACATGAACAGTTAGACCCTCCCTCCACAGCACTCCCAGCCACTTTAACCATCAGTATTTCCATTACCTTGTGCAGGCTTTATGCTCTTACAATAAAGTTACAGCTCCACGTGTTGGCTAGAGCAAGGGAAGAACCTTCCCCGCCACCTTTACTTACAGTACATGGACCAGTCTCACAAATAAGCTTCACACAACTTGTCATCTTTTGCAGACAAAGCAGGTGATAAAAGAAATAGTAAGTGCCATCTGGACTTCACCTTCCCAGTTACACGAGGCAGCAGTCCCACTGTGGTGCACTGCCCCTTGAACCTGGGGCACAGCATTGAACACCCACAGAACAAAAAAGAGCAAAGAGTTTATGATGCAGAGAAAAGCCAAATGCTATTTAAAAGAATTTCTGTGTTTTAACGGGTAATGAGTTGCCCATTCGGATCATTCTTAGTCTTGCATTGACTACCACTTTCAGAACCTGAGTGCTAGTGTGTTAATTTGAAATACCTAAATAATATCCACACTCCTTAGAGTCAGAGCAGAGATCAAAAAATTCAGCAAGGGAAAGCCTGTAGGATACATGTATGGTTTCCAAAGGCTGCAGTGTCCAGATATCTATCTTCCCTCCCCTTTCCTCATAGAATAGATATCTCAGGAAAGGTCTTTGTAGATGTATGTACCACTTTCAAGGGAACAGAAGAGACAGTTACTGCAAATCTATTTGATGTACTGCCATATGAATAATGGGGCATTCAATTCTGGTAAGGAATAAGCCTACACAACAGGAATCTAAGGAGAACATCACTGAAAAGGAAGACAGAAAACTTGGTGTGGCAGATTCATGTTTTTCCTTACACTATGGATCATAGTTTTGCAATGAGTATTAAAAAAGAACAAAGGTTTGCTACCAACATAATAGGAAAAGATGATCCCGACTGGATTCTTGGGCTTCTTTGCATGTTCTCCTCTGTGCCAAAATGAATGGAACGAGGCTTAGCTGAATTGTTGCTTTTCTTTTCAAAGTAGCTCATATGAAGTTCACATGAATAGAGGATTCATCTACCTGTGAGACCACAGGACAAGAGCATCAATCTTCCCTTACATCTACAAAGCAGTGTTGCCCCTAGATACAACTTTTGATTCGACATATAGGAAACAGGACACACACACACAAAGTCCCTAGTGGCAAGTAATGAAATTAAAGCTTTGATCATTTTTGGTCTCTGAACCTTCAGCAGTAAGAGGTGAGTTATTGTACAGCTGCACAAAATGCCTAATTATACGGGCTAGCAGATGTCTGTCCTAACTAGTGCATTAAACCACACTTTAATCCATAATTTGTCCTCATATATTGACTACACATGATTGCAACCAATTTCCATAATGTTCTGTAGAGTGAATCAGTAAAGTTCAGCAAAGACCAAAAAAAGATTGCAACCAATTTCCATAATGTTCTGTAGTAAAGTTCAGCAAAGACCAAAAAACCACCAAGGCAGCCCTCACAAGGTTATGAGAAACAGTTCTGTTTCATGGCACACATTATTATTTTGAAATCTGCTGTCACCTCAACTGGAAACCCTCAAGCCCTGACACCCTGGGACGGTCTCAGGGCAATGAGAGCCATCACTGAGGTCCATGCTTGGACCCAGAGGGCTGTGATACCACACTGTCCATGACATACCAGCTGAAGTCCTATCTCACCCCTTTACACCCAAGACCTGGTTCTCCTTTCTGCACAAATCCACGTTTAACTTTCACCAGAACTTTCCCATTTTGCGCCAGTTACAAGACAACCACCCATGATGACACTGCTTTTAAAATTGCATTTCCAAAAATGCCCAAATGTGCTGATTTATAGGAGTTTTCATGAGCATGAACAACAGGATTATTTGGGAATTAGGACTTTCTCAGACAATGCTGAAGCTGCATATCTCCGCAGCACATTTCTTTAAATTCCTGTCATGAAACAAGCCTGTCAAGCTGTGAGCATTAATGCAATTAACCCCAAATAAAGATTAAGTGACCTTTCAAAAATCGTTTTTGCCACACTCTGGCCCTTAATTACCAACTTAATAAAGATAAAGTGAAATATAGTCATTGGGCACCCTGTCTTTGATGTTGTAACCTCTCAGTACAAAAGATGCTTAAGAAGAAGCACTGGTGCATCGGATAAGTCTGTAATCCAACCTGCCCTGATCAAGAGCTTTTGAAGTAAGATTCAACTTCTGTTGAAAGGTGTTTGCAAACCAATTTCATTCTTTGAGATTATTGGGGAAAAAAACCACACCACAAGATATTCTTAACTAATCTACTCTAATACTTTATATTAGCATGATTTTTGGGAACCTCTCAAAAAAAAAAGTCTACAGTTCCACAAAGACTCATCTACCACCATTCACATTATCAAACCTTAATTTAGAAAGCAAATGAAAACTGCATGAAAGGACCACATCACCCTCCTTTAAGGCTAAAAAAAAGCATCTGATGTAGGCATTTGGACTCCTCCTCAGATGCTACATAAGGAGTTTGAATTCCCAGCTTTTGGCCACTGAACTGCACCTAAGTGACTGACATAACTGAAAACCACAATTACACCCAAAATTATCCACAGCTGCAGACGGAGGCTTTGGTACCTAGTGCTCTCCTCTCTGGGTGAGGCACAGTCTCTAATTAACAGCAGCTTTACATACTTCTAAATGAGGTACTGCCTTTTCCTCCTCTCCAAGAGCTCAGGCTGTACATATATCGCTCTACACTAATGATACAAATATAATGAAAATATAATGCCATGACAAATAAACATACCTTTA